CCCCCCCCCCCCGGGAGCCCCTCGTATTTACCTTTTTACAGTCTCATTGACATTGGCTCGAACCCGGCGCGGCGCGGTGCGGTGCGGTGGCTCCGGATTGGGATCCGCAAGCTGTGTTTACCTATCTACTCCCGTTTCCGCGAGCTTTGGTGCATGTCTACCGGTACTCGGGTTCCGTCCACCTGGCGGCCCGGCCGGCGTTTTGTTCGGTCGCGAGGTGCCCCGTTAGCTTTTGAAATTAGATATCCTTCATCGGGATTTTCGGGCATGTTCCCATGCAATGCCCCGGAAAAATCCCTTGTGCTAATTCGCTGAGTCAGTGCTAGTTCACTGCGAACATGGCTGGTGTTTTTCACGTATGCAATATTTTTAATTAGATCAATAGATAATCTTTCACCCCGCGTGGTCGAGTAGTGGTGTCATCATGAAATGGCTCGCTCAAGTGGGGCATACACAAGAAATGAGCTGTTCACCAAACGGGAATTGGTTACATTAACGTCATGTCAGTTTGCCTTCGACTTGTAGTGTAGGCAACACGAGCTCCCTCGTGGTCGAATAGTGGTATCATTATAAAATATGGTTCGCTTACTTGGGACTTTCACAAATTAGGGATATTTATCGAACGGGAAGTGATTAAATTAACATCATGTCAGTTTGCCTTCAATTCGTCGTGTAGGCAAAACAAGCTCTTGCGTGGTCGAGTAGTGGTATCGTGTCCCATCCATGTAACAGTCAGGCAGTTCGTAGGTGAATGTGTTATAATACACGATAACATAATAAAATTATGAAAAGAGAAGAAATTAAAGAAAGAGAAGAATAACGAGGAAAAGAGGAGAAGCAGAAGAACAGAGAAAGAGTAAGAAGAGTAAAGGGAGAATAAGGTGAGAGAAAGAAAAGGAACGAGAAGAAAAGAAGATTATGAAAAGAGAGGGAATAAGGAGAGGGAAAGAGGAAGAGGAAAAAATGAGAGGGTAGAGGAAGATGTTGAGAGGAGAAGATAAAGAAGAGGAGAAGAAAAATAAAATGCAACGATGCATAAAAACAATAAGAAGTCGACGAAAGTGCATCGAAAGAGATGAGCGTGAACCGATTAAGTAATGTCGATTTGATAGAGACATAATACAAAAACGTGCTCTTTTTTATTTTTCAATCAAATCATGTCGATCGAA